GTACCCTCTCCCTGAGCCCCCCCACCTGCCAGGGCCCCCCAGGGCCTGTCTGGAACCCCCTCAGCCCCCGAGTCTGCCCCCTCCTCCCTCCTCTGTTCCCCCAGAGCGTTGTAGCTCTGTCTGACAGCGATTCCGAGAGCAGGGCAGGGCTTTGGTTTGCTGGCCCTGCAGAAGGGACTGGAAAGGAAGAGGCTGGCTGGGAGTTTAAGCTTTCCCTAAGGGAGCTCTTCCCTGAGCTTCCCACTGCTCCCTTCCACCCTTTGGAGTGGGGGGGCTAATTCATGTAAGGCCTTGCTAAGCCAGAGTCTTTACAGAACACGGCCCCAACTGCTTGGATTTTCTCCTACAACCTGCCTGAGTTGTTGCTTTCAGAAAAAAAGAGGGAAACTATAACAAACAAACAAAAAAAAAAACCAACCAACCAACCAAACAAACCCCACAAACAAAAAACAAAACACCACAAGAGAAAACCCCAAAAAATAAAACCCAAAAAAACCCACTGGAAACGTTGTGAGAAGCTGGAAAACCTGGCACTTTCTGTGGGTCAGAACTTCATCAAAGCAAGCCCAGAGATGTCTCAGCTTCAGACACGTTTTTCTCAGGAGGGGGAGCTTTTGTTGCACCCTGTTCAGCTCAGGGTTCAGGGGAACTCGGCTCCCCCCTCCTGCTCCCCCTTCCACTGCTGCTGGAATCTCTCCTCAGGAGTTTTCCTTTCTCTGGGTAAAAGGGGCCTGAGTTATTTCTCCAGCTAGAAGGGAAAACTGCGTCCCTTTCTCCGGGCCATGCCCTGGAGTTTCTGTGTGTGGCAGTGCCCTGAGGAACAATCCCTGACCCGCAGGGATCTTCCCCCGGGATCTGCTGGATCCTGTCCCAGCTCCATGCCAGGGCCTGGCTCATTCCCCCTCTGGATTGAAATGCCACCGTCCTGCCCAGTCCAGCCCCTCCAGTCCCTGGTTAACAGGCCTGTGGGGGTGTCTGGAGCACAGTTGTTGTTCCCGGGGTTCTGCTCCCTCCTCCTTTCCCTTGGACCCTTCCCGGGCCCAAATCGGCTCCAGCACCTTCTCCTCCCCCCTCCCCAGTCCGTGTCACCCCCCCAGTGACAGCCCCTGCCGTGCCGTGGCTGTTCCCGCAGGAGGAGGTGGATGCCGGAGCCATCATCTTCCAGGAGGCGGTGCCGGTGAAGGTGGGGGACACGGAGCAGACGCTGGCGGAGCGGGTGAAGGAGGCAGAGCACAGGGCCTTCCCCGCTGCCCTGCAGCTCGTGGCCAGCGGGGCTGTCAGTGTGGGGGAGGCCGGCAAGATCTACTGGAAGTAGGAGCAGCAGCACGTCCAGGGATGTCCTGGGGGCCCTGAGTGACCCACAGCACGGACAGCGTTCCCTTCACTCACGGGCTCACAGGGTAAAGATTCAAATAAAATCCAGAGAAAGCCACACATGGGACTGTTGAGGCTGTTCCAGGAGGTGCAGCAATGGCTCTGGTGCTTCCTAATTTTAATCACTTCCTTGGCCAACATTTCAGGTCTCGGTCGCTTTCCTAACAAACCAACCCCCCCGGCGGTTCCAGGGAGAGCTGAGCCCTCTGGCACTGCCATGGGGACAGCAGGGCTGCTCTGGCAGAGCCTCAGCCTGGGCCAGGGGCTCTCCTGGGCTCTGCTGGGCAGCGTTTGGGGGGAAAGTACAAGGGAAGAGAAAGGCAGAAACTTTCACTCCTAAAAACCTGGGGCAAACCAAGAAAAAACAACCTCCCAAAACACCAGCTCTTGGGTTCCTTACCACCTAGCTCCTGGTTTGATGGTGGTAGATCTTGTCTGGCCCAGTTCTTTGATACATCCTGGAATTCCAAGCACTGCTGTCAGTCAGATGCCAATGGGATTCAGTGTCTACTGCCCCTTTTCCCTCAGCATTCCCATGTGAAGGCCCAGGAATTCCCCTCAGAGATTTGCCCAGCACCAAACCACTCGGGTTTCTGAGTTTCTAAAATGAGCAGAAAGACCTGACACAAAACCCTCTCCTTGGCTTGTGAGACATTCCTCAGAAATTCTGAAGTGCCTTTATTCTTGGAGCGGTGTTGTCACCTGGAGTAACACTGATGGACACCCAGTGACTGTGACCACTGGAAAACAATCCGGGTTCTTGGGCAGCTCAACCCCTGTGGTTTTCTTTCCACATTTAGTGCAGTTCTGGGACCATTTTAATGTACTCACTAGAGGAACAGCCTTCCCTCCCACAGCAGAGAGGGAGCTGAGGATGTGCTTTAGAGCTCCCCCTTAATACAGAGAAAGCTGATTTTAGTCTGGGCTCTCATGTCCTGATGGTACTTCCATGTTGGCATAATCTCCTTTGCATTTGAAATAAGGTCTAATAAAGTTAAAAAAAAAAAATCTAGAAATATTTGCTTGGAATTCCTTTACCAGGAAGCTGGAGGAGTTTGGGAAAGGGGATGCTGCTGGAGAGCAGGGCAGGGGAGGTCACACAGCGTCAGGCCTGCTCCAGGCAGGAGAGTCAGGAGAAACAAAGGCTTGGAGGGGTGAAATCACTGCCTGTGCAGTGAATAAATATCACATTAAACCAGCATCACATAATTGATCAAAGCTGTTTGATCACTGCCAGAAAGGCAGGACACACAGAGGCTCCAAATCCATCACCCCATTGCATCACCCCCAAATCCAGCACCCCCAAATCCAACACCCCCAATCCAACACCCCCAAATCCATCACTCCACTGCAGCACCCCCAAATCCAGCACCCCCAAATCCATCCCACTCAGTCCAACGCTCCACTGCCTCACAGGCACATTGATCCCCACTCAGATATTTTGCCACCTAAGGCTGATGGCAAATGGGATTTCACAGAATCCCAGGATGGTTTGGGTTGGGAGGGACCTCAAAGCCCATCCAGTGCCACCCCTGCCATGGGCAGGGACACCTTCCACCAGCCCAGGGTGCTCCAAGCCCCGTCCAACCTGGCCTGGGACACTTCCAGGGATCCAGGGGCAGCCACAGCTTCTCTGCCCAACCTGTGCCAGGGCCTGCCCACCCTCCCAGCCAGCAATTCCTTCCCAATCTCCCATCCATCCCTGCCCTCTGGCAGTGGGAAGCCATTCCCTGTGTCCTGTCC